CCAGGATTATTTTTGTTCTTGAAAAAGTCTCAAGCCAACAAATTACTTGCACAGCGGTATTTCTGAAGCCCTCATCTCGCTCACCGACCCCTGCCTGGTAAGCTGTGTTAATAAAAGAGACGCATTAGTCTGGGTAATATCTTTTTTAATCCTTTCATTCAAACATCTTGAAATTATATTTGACAATTTTTTAATAAACCTTGTAATAAATCTTTTTGATTTGTTGAAAACTTTGTCAAAACTTTCTAAATATTGAATAGTGCACTCATCGCATTCTAGAACAAAAACGAAATTTAAGACTCATCTTTAGTTTTAAAGGAGCTACGAATTTCGTTTACAAATAAATTTTGCATTAAACGAATGTACTCGAAATGTTTTGAAAACGGGAAGACTTGACATCTTTGGCACGGAATCCCGTGGTATTTGCAGCTTTCGCCAGCCATCGATCGTACATGAGACTGTTACTGGATGGGCTGTCCTTTGCTGAAAATCTGAAAGGGAGATCTGTTAAGCGAAAACCTAGCATTTTGTCATAAATTTTTCTTAGCTGCTTATATTGAAGTCTTTTCTCAGGCTGAAGTTCCTTTTTTAGCAGCTTCTTTGCTTTGCGTCGTTCTTTACGGTGAACTCCAAGATTTCGTAGCTGGCGCGCGGTGGCCGGGCGGAAGGGAAGCCGAGGAATCCGACGAATTTCCCTTGTGGTTAAGCTCTCGAGACGCTTCATGATTTCATTATACAAAGGATGAACTGGGTCTTGATACACCACACAGACTCGACCTTCATCTTCAGAGCTATCGATATCAGGATGTGGCATATACAAAGTGTCTACGTAATCCCTGGGGTGAAACTGTGCTTCCTGCATGCGGAGATCATCCCGAAGATTGTCGAAATAGGCAAACATATGAGAGGTGCTCTTTTCCTGCCAATCGGCCCATATCTTGTCAATGAACGCGTGATGGAGGAAGAACTCCGGCGCGTTAGCGGAGTTGTGGGCACACATCGTGCCTCCTACACGACAGTGGACAGTGTCGTGTAGATTCGCGCGGACGTCCAGCTCAAACTCCGTGAACTCGCGTGGAGAATGCGCTTTCGTCAAATAAAGAGCGATTATATCGGGTGGTTTAGCTGTAAAAGAATTAAACAACGTGAAAATTAGGAAAACAACTAGAAAGGTTAAAGAAAAGAAAAGGAGATAGAGTCTTATGCCGCATTCGCACCAATAACTAAATCAGGTTTAGATTTTTCCAATAGTCCAGTTTCGAATTCGCCATGACCGCTGATTAAAAGCACTGACAACGCATTTGCACAGGGTTAGCCTCCACCTAAAAAAATATTCACAAATACCGGTGGGAAGGTGCCACAAATTTGAAAATTAAACAATACACAGAGCTATAAACAGGTCATCTTCACGCTGGAATTTGTGAATATTTTACTTTAGGTCGAGGCTAACCCTGTGCAAATGCGTTCTTAGTGCTTTTAATCAGCGGTCATGGCGAATTCGAAACTGGACTATTTGTCGATTACGCTTTGCAGTCCTTTCGAGAATAAAAATTTCAAATCACTTTGCTAACATATTTTAATTAAACAGGTGTTGGGGTGCTGTGCACGGTATAAACAACTAATTTTTAACTTTGTTAAATTAAACCACTTTTGAACATGTTAAACATGTTAGTGTGAACAGGGTGTTAGTTTGTTTTGTCAGACTTCATGACAATGTCCAGTCTAGAGAACAGAGCTTTACTAATCCTTTTGCTGGTGTTGAAATAAGATAAATTCCTGAAAATCTTCGCTCTTTAAGCTTGAAAAGGTAACGTGGGATTCCAAAACGAATCTAAAATGGCATAGAAATTATTGTTTTATAGTACGGATTATGTGATCAGACGGCAATATTTGAGGATGTACATTGACAATAGCTAGCGAGTTCTTGGGCCTTGAGGTACGCATCAATTTATACGTGAAAGTATTTTGGCTTTACTCGGTTAGTTTTTCAAGATTTTGATCTGAATATTGCTAAAAGATACCAATATCGTTCAGGTAGTAACGAAAGAAGTTTCCGCAGTCTCCCGCTTGACAAATTGAATGACTGATTTAGCCTAAACGAGTATAGGGAGAAAGCTAGAGATGACAATTTACATGTGTTTTGACTCCAAATAGACTCCACAGATGAATTCCAACAGACTTCCTTTCATTTGAGCGCGCCGAACCTACACCACTACTACAACTGACTGACTGACAACTGACTCGATCAATTTGTCAACAGTTTGCTTTTATACAGTAGATTACATCCTGTTATTTTAAAATATTGCTATGCCACGCAATTCCAGGATGTTCGAACAATGTAATTAACAAAAGCAGTAACAAACGTATTAGTCTAGAAATTTCTACTTCACCGAGAGGCTCTGGAAAACCTATTGTTTTTCTAATCTGCAATGCTCTCCGATTCCCAGCTTTCAACGTAATGTTTACATGTGTTGGTTAACCGTTTTGCATTTTGTTAATGTCGCACCAAAAACATATGTAAACAGTAGGGGCAGGTTTTTGAGCCATAGATCCACACAGGAGATTTGCTAAGCACACAAGAGGCTAGAAAGTTGCCTCGAGCGATTCTCTCGGTGCTTAGCAACCTCCCGCTGCGTGAATCCATAACTCCAAAGAGAGATTCCATTCTACCTCATAAGCATACGACCTAGCAAAGGTATCATGTTAGATTGGGGGTTGGCTCCAAACACTCAGAGACTCTTTAAAGTCTAGTTAGCAATCAGTGAATATTTTTTTGCTCTTGAACGCTTTGGTTGAAACATACCTGGAGGAGACCTATTTTTTTTTTCAAAAACTGCAAAACTTATGGGCAACAAAAGCGCAAATAAGCGCTTACAGTATTGGTAAAATGTTGTGTATTTTCACTCGGGTCACACGAAAGGTATATAATACATCGGGTTCAAATTCTTTGGATTGTTAATCACGCTATATGTACACTTTCATTATTCAAAGCTTTTATTTTTGTAGCTCGATCACAAGCTGAACTGGCGTTTATGCTAATGATAAAATACTGTGAACAAAGATTCCCCGAAATTGGAAGATACCGCGTTTGCCATTTGTTAATTAAATTCTCTCCTATGTAAATCTTCCAAGTAAACTCATTCTTTAAGTTTTAAAACGGGTTAGAAGTGATTAAGTTAA